AATTATATGGCACTTGCACAATTTTCATTGTAAAATATTGCACAATATTTACTATAAGAAGACAGTTGTCACTAGTTGTAAATGAAAATACCGTCTAAATAATTGTAAGAAGTAAAAAAGCAAAGAAATATAATTTCACTATATTACAATGACCAGCCTGTAGTCAACTGGAAGAAGCCGACGAACATTAAGACGCGAGCGAAAATATTAAAGAAGTACATCATTCTTTTTCCCCAATTCCGTTAATTTTGAGCGGGATGTCACATCAAGGATCAAACAGTCAAAACAAAGAACTCTGAAACCAAAACAAAGCTTAGTGTCATTAATTTGTCCACTTCTTGGTCACACAAATATAAGAATGAGCTCACAACAGACGGAAAGGATGAAAACACTTAAAACAACGTGTGATCTACATAAAACGCGAGTCAGCTTTCGATATCCGCTTTTAAAGCTACAATCACGGAACACTTTCAGTATAACGTACCTGAAAATACTTAACTACACTATATTTTGTCAATGTGTTGCAAAGAGAAGGAACGCAGTTAGATTACAAAGTAATGACAAAGTAAAGAGTCTCATTCAACACTCTTCTTGTTGTTATGGTAAATAAAAAAATGGTGTTTTCAACATCATTTACACCACAACATAATCATCAAAGTAAGCTACAATCACGTACATGAACGTGACAATGTAACAAAATAGTTGTCTCCACATATTTAGCGTTGTCACTTACACTTGCAATTGGTTACAATGATATTTACTTCATGAATCGGACTCGGGGCATTCTGGGTAACTTGGAACTATAACTCAATAAACTGGTTACCTATGGTATAAATGTTACAGCAAGATACCAAGTCATTGTAGACGCTGTTAATCAAAATATAACTATTAAGCACGAAATTGAGACACATTTATGCGCTGCGCCCAGCTCATGTGTCAACTTATATGAAATTAATCTCAGGAAGTTTTATTCTTTTTAAAGAATCCTATTTTGACTGAGAATTTCAACAGAACTTAGACGAAAGATTGTGAAAAATTGACATTGTTGAAAATGCTCACAAATATGTTGAAAATTGTTTTAGCAATTATTATTCGCGAAATATCATTTGTTTTAAAATTGAATTGTGTTTGAAACGTAAAGACCTTCGCAGTTAGTGACGTTCTCTTTTTTCCAACTTTTTTATTAATTCAAATTGTCAATATAATCAATTATAAAAAACTTTGAATTTATAATTCTCTCATCAAATAGACTTTTTAATGGCTAGCGAAAAAAAAGCCAGCAAATTTTTGGAGATGTATATATTGAAGATCTATGTCATTAGAAGTTATAATGGTAGCTATAGCGTGCACTAAAGAGCAATTTTGAAAAATAAGCACGATTGACTTTAGATTGAATGCATTTCTCATCGTTTTCTAACTTTGGTTAAAGTTACAATGCGATATACTTCATACATCGGACTCGTGGCAGACGGGGAAACTAGGAACTGTCACGAACACCGGCTACCTGCGGTAAAGATGGTACGGCACGATACCATGTCATCGTAGATTATGCCGTCGTAAAAATTATTCCCATCATGCTGTTAACAAGAATATAAGTACATTGCACAGAATTGAGAGTTTGTCAGACAAGCTAGGTAGGCGCTACGCCCAGGGTAGGTGTAAGTGAATTTGGTCGCAGGAAGTTGAGTTATTTTTCAAGATTCCTTTTCCAATTGAGAATTTCAACAGAATTGAGTCTAAGAATATTAAAAAAGAAACACTGTGGGACTAATGTTTAAAATTGTTTAACTATTTCCGGAGTATCCTTTGCTATATATCTGAACTGTGTTTGTAAAAAGCTTGCGCGAGTGACTCTAAATTGAATAATTTCGAATAGTTTTCTTACTATATTGTTAACCCTTAATTAACACGATTTCATTCAAGACCTAATGCGTTAAAAATGTTTTACTACACATCTAATTAAAGGATATTTTACTCAGAAAATGTAAAGTTTGACTTTTATAAAACTTATTTCAATTATGTTGGCCATTTCTTTAATTAATCCAGAGGCAAAAATGTATGATACGTCGTTAAATGATCTCACCGTATTCGTGAGTGACACAACTCATATTTGTACTCAAAGTGCGGTACAGATGGATGTGGTAAACTAAAACGTTATTTGGCAACAAAATTTCCGTTTAAAGTTTCTTCGAGTTTGAGAGTGACAGCGAAGGGAGATTTGTAGTGAGTGAAATTATAAAACAATACGCAATATTTCCTTATTTTTCTCCTTCACGTTTTTCAAACGAACGTCGGTAGAAATAAGTTTTGAGTGCAAGCTCTACAAAAAACTGGACAAAAGATGAAACCGAACACATTTTAAAACTAATTATTGACATAGTATAGAGAAACAGCCAGTAGTCCTACTTCGCTGTGCAGCTTAGTGCTGTATATTTAATCAGATTACTAATGCAATTTACTGGCTGTAACATGGCCTGTAACTATACTAATCACTGGAGAAGATATGCTTCACACAAAAAATTTCAATGGAATTGGACAAATTTTTGTTTCTATATTGTGCTTACAGATAACCAAAACAATTTTTGCATCGATAATTTTTAAACATCATCCATTTCCAAAAACAGCAGGAAGACTGTGTACTATTATAGGTACTGTTTTAGGGTACGCCAGCTTATGAATTAGAGTTCATTATCATAGTAGGTATGAGAAACGTCTGCAATAAGAAAATGATAGAAATACAGTTGCAATTTTTTACAAAATCAATGACTTCAACGAAATCACTGTACTGTAGTTCAGGAAAACACAACTTTTCTATTTAACGCAATAATCTACATACAAGTATATTTTCGCCTACTCGAGCTTTCCGTTTTCTTTGTAACTTAACTAAAGTGTTTCTTATATAATATCTGAACATTTCATGGTGACTAATGTCATTTCGTAATGCAGTTTCTTTTCTCTCTCTCATTCAAAATCTCAGTGATTCTTAACCACAATCTTCTTTAGTCATTTGCTTTTTGTCTAGTGCTTGATAAGTCGTGTCGTCTTCGTTTGCTTTTAGTTGATGATGATCAACGTCTTCATTCATTTGTGTTGTATCTGGTTCTCGATAAATTGTATCGAGTTCGTTTGTAATTAACGACTGGTAATTGTTACAATCGTCGTTCATTTTTGACAAATCTAATCTTGGTAAGTTGAATCTTGATTGTTTTTTTGCTCTTGAGACACTGATCGAAGTTGGTTACTGATATGCTGATAGCATAGAAAATAATGGTAAATTTAGAGAATGAGTCCCGCAGAACTGCTTTGCATGATTGTTTTTACTCCTGACATTGAACTTCCGTTGTTTGGCAAAGAGTTTAGGGATTGTAACCTGACTAACCAAGCGTGAAAATCTTTCTTAAAATATACACATGTTAATTCTTCTCTATTTTTTGTTCTACCTCTCTTTGCGGTTGACGGAAAATAGTTGGCTGGATTTATTGCTGCACTAACAACCGAACATGCTGTTATTTTTTGGTGTCCCAAAAATGGCTATCTATGGCTGGCTAAATGCACAAAGTATTTTGTGAGACTTCGTCTTTAAAAGATAACTGATGGTGACACTGTGACAGTGAAAGTCACACGAAAAATGATGATAACGGCGATAGAAGACGGGAAAGAGAGGTTAAAGGAGAAAGGTGTCAAGACACATAAAACAAATATTGTGGTTGTGTGCTAAAGCTTACGATCACCACAGAAAACATAAAAAAGCTGAGATAGTTTAGAGCAACTTAAATGCACCGCTTAAAGTGTTGTGAGTGTTCACTGTGATGGTCTATAACCTTTGTTTCTAAAGTTTCTCTTAATTAATACCAATAAAACTCACCATAACAAAGTAAGGAACTGGTATTTCGTACTCGTGGACGTCTTCGTTAATGTGAACGGCTAAATGTTTCTTATCCATCGTCCTTTTCTTATACTTAATGGATTCCATAAACATATTACAAGGATTGTGCTTTCCACATATTGTGCTATAAAAATGGGGCCATTTCATTTAATTTCAGGTCCCCAAACATAAGCAAAGAAAAAATTTTATTGAGCTTTGATGTTTCTGATTAATCTGATTAAGCAATTTTTATCAGGTATAGTGAGTCAATGACGCCCTATTAATAAATTTCTTAGTTTATTGATAAAATGGTTAAAATGTTCGCTTAATGTCGATCAATGCAAGTAGATATGGATAACAAAACAATTTTAACACTCTTCATCATTTATGATCATTGGTTTGAATTATTTTCAGTGTTTTGTTTGATTGTTATACAAAGTAACACAATATACAATGCAATCCGGCATATCGTTCGTATTTTTGGTGGAAAAGTTTCTACAATAAAGTAATGAACGTCTGGGTTGTTCAATTATATATGTAGTCAGTTAAATGAACATTAATTTCTATCCATTGCGACATGAATATACACAGGCAATCGAAGAACCGGACCATTACAAGGTTTTAAAATACGGAAAATAATAAAAAATTGAGACTCTAGATGAAAATAACGTTCAAAAGATCTGTCCAAAAAAAAATAAGACGTTGCACATGCTGTTCTTGCACAATTTGGGCTGTGCTCGGAAATAACAATTATCAAATACAAACCAGAACAAAAAGATCATAAGCAGAACAGTGAGTATAACACCACCAACTGCATTAGCGCCTGCAATAACACCTAAAGGATAAGAGAATTATAGCAATATGATAGACAGATAGATACAAGTGCTGCTATCAAAGGAACTTCATTTATGAATTTTAAGTTTTAGTTTAAGAAAAGACACAGTTCCCAACAATTGAATAATTGTCTAGAGTAGCAGGTTTTTCATCATATGTCTAGCCTAGTCAATGTTTTCTTGAACTGGTCAAATTGTAAAGCTGTTTTAAAAATAATGAACTAAATTTTTGGGTGCAAACAATATAAACATACGCCATGTTTCGCCTCTTTTCGTGATTTTCATTTCGTATTTCTTATTTCCTCAATACAATAGAAGAAGGGCATGATTCTTCCACATTTGTATTAGCAAGAATTTTTTATTCCAGACACTTCAAGTTCCCTAACTAAATAAAACATATCGTTATTCACATAGCTGACCTTCTTCAAAAGACTAAATAACGCCGTCGTTTAAATTGTTAACGCTAAATGATACTGAATATCAACGAGACACAGGTAGGCAATACTATTTGACTTCACAATATTTTTCGCTGACCATGCCAATGATGCAACAGCGCATCTTCATACAAATTTGATAATGCGATGAATGATAATGAATACATAAAATATTTTATTACCTAAGTGGATGATATCTTTGTTGCTAGATTCATTTATTTCTTTTAAAGTAGTTTTGTGTTCTGGCTGCGTAACCTTCTTGCTGGGTGCTACAGATAAGTTGTTACTTTTTATTGAAGTGTGGATTTGCGTCGTGCTATAAAAAGTTCAATAAAAAAGATGACAATGAGCTAGTTAGAGGAACAAAACATTTTCAAAAAAATATGTACACTGCAAACTTGAACACAAACAATTAAATTCCGTGTAACTATCGATTGTGTTATAGTAGTGTAGCGTCGCTATTTTTCATGTTTGGTTGTGATATGTAAATCTATAACATAAGCATTTTTTATTTCTTTAGAAATTTGATTTTTTTGTTGTAAAAGCGCACCAAACTATAGACATACACGGCACGACCAAACGTGCAGGCTGGCTACACCGCAGGTCAGTGGTAGTGTGGCACCCGCACGAAAGTCCACTTCACACTTTCGCTATACACAAACATCAATTTTAGTACAATTTTTGCTCACACCAAGTAATGAAATCAAAAACGTAAGAAGTGCTTTCGCTCTTGTATTTCACACACACGCCAACAAAGTTGACTATATATTTCTCTATCATCATGACATGATCGCTTAGAAATTGATCGCCTCCCCACAATGCCATTTTAAACAGCCGCGTCACTTAAGGGTGTGTAATACATGATTAAAATTACAAATAAAATTATGATATTAGTTTGCTTACGCCAAGCACGTGTTATACCACACAAAAAAATAAATATATATTTATATTAATCAACAGCAAAAGCACTTGAAAGTATAAATTTATGACAATTGACAAAACGTTGAAATGACTAATTAGAATGTTAAAGCAAACGAGTGTATTTCTTATTTTATCACAAGTCGATTTCTAACAGAAGAACGTAAATGAGTTAATGAAAGAGGGTATGGACATACGGAATGTGTATAAAAATTAAGTGGTTAAACGAAGTATATATATATGAATCATATGCACGCGGTCTTCCCATCTCGGAAGTGTTTTGGCTGTACGTACAAATTTTAATGTACAAAATTGTACGACTCATACTGTGTAAATTGTTTATGAAAAAAGTCCAGGTATGTTAGCGACGAAACAGGCTTCAAAATTCACAAAGGTAAGATATACTTAAAATAATTTGCAATATGACATTGACCAACCTTTAGGCAAATAGAACGAGCTGACCAAATACAAAACGTGAACAAAAAGGCAAAAGAAATGCATTCCTATGTCCTCTTAATTTTCTTGAACTTCCAGTTTCTGTTCACAACAAGAAAGAAACAGTCGATACAACAAATTCAAAATCAAAACGAAGCTTAGCTTTATTCAATCGCCTATGTCTCGGGGCAATAGTTATGTAATAAGAATGGTTCTATAAGGGAGAGAAAGAATACGACCTCTTGAAATCAACGTTTCATCAACATAAAGTGTCGACATATAAAAGGGGCTGGCTTCCAATTTCCGCTTCAAGAGTAACAATGTTTTAACATCTTCGGTAGAATAAAGTTAATGACAATATAATTTTTCAACCTTTTGTTGAAGAGCACCTGTAACAATGGAATTGTTAATTCTGCTCTTGTTTCGGTTGTAAGAAATATGTCTTAAGCTAGTTTTAGAAAATCGTCAATCGTGGAAACCCGTCATGCCCACTTGAAAAGCAGTGACTTACTAATTTCCGTATGACCAACAGGCTCAAACAGACAAACACACTGAAATGCTGCACCATACATATGGGTTGGTGTAGGGTGGTGTCACATCTAAAATTTTATTTGGAAATGCAGTCTTTAGAAGTGCTATATTAGTCGGCAGAAAAAGATTTTTGACGACTTAACAACATTACAATGATTTGGATGAAGCGTAAATAAGAGTTAAGAGACTAAATATTCGTATAAATGAAGAGTAGCGTAAGAGCAAGACATTTAGTCAATAAAATATGTCTTGTTTGAACAGTATCCTAGTACAGTGTTATAACACCGTGCTCTAGCATAAAGTAGATGATGCTATGATTATATGCAATTTATTTTAGTTACTACATTAACTTGCTACATTTAATTTCAAAGATGTTGTCTTGTTGACGTTTAACGGTGATTGCAGTGGCGGATCTAGGGTTAGTTAAAATAAATTGCTGCTGCATATTTTGGAATGTATTAACATTTCTAAGCCCCTCAGAGACAAGCCATTAGTGAAACGATATTCTTTAGAAATTCAAAACCAATAGTGCTTTTCTGAAAGTACTTTGAATTTAAAATTAAGCAGCTTCGATTTATTTTGCTCGCTACTGCTCGCTGTGATCGTGCTACCAAGTTGCGCCTAGATCCGCTACCGGGTTGTTATATAAAGACGCATAAAGCTGAGTCGATTACTGTGTGATTACTTTTAGATTACTGCGATATTAATGAATAAATTAACACATTTAAGGGCGTCATTTAGTAGACTTTGAAAATTGTCAAGGTTTTGTCCTACAGTGCAGTCAGTACATGTTTGTTGCACCGTCTGTTGAAAGAACGACCCCCCCCCCTCCCCCGATGAACTTTCTAATGATGGCCCAGCTAGCTGAAATGCATAAGAACTTAGCAGAATTTGCACGCAAGTCGAGCATTGTTTGGAAGAAATTAACTCGTTATTTAAATTTTTTATCCAGAAGACTGCACTAAAAGTACGAATCTTTCATAAAACTAGTAATCGAGATAGGAATGACAAATATAATAATGACGTACTCGTGTGTTTTTTCGCAAGTTGTGAGTTTTAAATAGTGTGATTGTGCTAAATATTGATATTCGCGTACCTTCTTTGAAAGTGCGCATTGAACAACATCATGATAAATTTTGTATTCCTGTATCAACTGATGCAATGCTACAACAAATAAATTTATCTTACATCATTAAATTGTACAACATCCACACGACGCCTTATTATTTGCTCATCAAACAGATATACGTTACAACTAAATGATTCGATAGCTGAGCTGGAAGAATAAACGAGTAACTGCAATGCGCATTGATTGGTACGCAACGTAGACGCAAAAATACAGCATTTGTATTGGACCTATTTTAACATAAACTTAGTTTATGAACATTATTTTGATGCAAGCTAAATGTAGACGGGGCGAGTATGTATTAGTAATGATTATTTGGTACAGACGGTATCACATGACAATAAGCCTAAATTTATATTGCACGGAACGCATTTTTAAGAAACAAGATTTCCATTTTTTTACTCTCTCTCAATTCCAATGGTGATTGTGAAAATCATGCAGTTTGCTCATTAAATGTAGCTGCTATAATACGACCAACAGGCCAAATATTAAGAATTGCACAAGAAGATTAAATTTAGGCGCCACCGGTACCACAAAGTAACTCATATAAAACTGCGGTAGTTTAGCACAAACTAAACGACATTAGAAAAGAACTGAATGATATGCAAATTAGAAGACACTTTAATTGTAGGAGTTGTGACGTGTCTAAAAATTTTTAAAAACGTAGAAAGGTTGCATAAAATGGTATAAGAAAACCCCTAACGACAAGAATAGCGTAAACATTTCTTTTTGAAATTATTTTTCTACATTTTTGTTAGGTGTTAACAATTTAGTTTGAGCGAACATATTTTGAAGCAAACAGTTTAATGTCCTCTTAATATAAAAAAAAGAGTCTACATAATTATGAGCTAGTTAAATAATAGTCAGCATGTTCATTAAAAGTGTATAAATGTGTATAACACCAATATAGTATGCCGTGATCAATTATGAATAGTTATGATTAAGAAAGAAAATAGAATCAAATTTATAGATGCTTTTTTCTCTCTCGCATGTTTATTAAGCACAAGAATAAATTCATATTTCTACATACTAAAGGTCCAAGACAAAAAGAACCGGAAGAAGAAATATATTTCAAAACTTATAGTTAAAATGATATCCGCATCGTTACTTTTAAATGCGTCATTTCGTAAACCTTTCGCTTACTTCTTTTTTATTTTGTTGTCATTGACATGTAATCATGATCTTCTTGCTTCATTAGCGTTGTATCTACCTCTTGATAAATTGTGTCTCCCTCGTTTGCGTTCAGTGCCTGATAGTCATTTTCTTTATTCATTTGTGCTATATTCAATTCTTGATATGTTGTGTTTTCTTCGTTTGCATTCAATGACTGGTGATTGCCATTGTTGTTGTTCAATTTTGACAAGTCTAACTCTTCGTAAGTTGAATCTTAATGGCTTGCTTGCGGTTTAGACTTTGATTGAAGTTTTTTACTGCTTTTCTAATAACATACAGAAAAACGGTGGAGTTAGAATGCAGTTTATGGTGCAGTAAAAGGAAAAAGTGATAATACTGATGTAGCAGATGGAAAAGAGGAAACGATAGTGATGGATAATACAGAGAAATGAGAACAAAACAGTTAAAGCAAATAATGGTGATTGCGAGGAAAACCTTGAGATGAGACTCATATACTTATGAGAGCAACTTTATCAAAGAAATTTACCTCTGCAACTTCAGCGTAAAGTTACGTGTGGTGTTTACAACAACGCAGTGAAATCATTTTCTTTACAATAAGTTGACATATAACCTTTTTTTCTAAGGTTGCAGACGAGTAAGATGGATCCTTACCGTAACGACATTTTAATTTTTTTAAAATCTTGTTCTACGCAGTCTTCGTCAATGCTCACTGTTAAACGTTTTTCATCTTTTGTTCTTTTTTTATAGGGAACGCGTTCCGTGTACATATTGCCAAGATTTCGCTTTCGACGTTTTCTCCTATGAAAACCGGACGATTTTCATTAAGTTTTTGCGTCATTAAATATTAACAAGGAAAAACTGCAGTTTTTATAACTTTATGAAATTTGAAATCTTTAATTACAAAGACGCGATGATACTCATTTGGAAGGTATGGCAAAGGAATGAACGACTGGATTGCGTGAATATAGTAGTTTAAATGAATATTTTTATCCATTGCTTTTTTAAATTCAAAACCGCACATAACATAGGACCAGAACGAAGTTTTAAAACATACAAGATAATTGGTAAGTAAAATCACCTGGTGCAACAAGCATGTAAAAGGAGGGACGTTGTTAGATCAGTAACAGGTATTGGGTTAGTTTTCATTTATTATGTTATGCTCATCTATTTTTTTTAAGTAGATATGTTTTCTGAATTTGAGGACACAATTGAATATATCCAAAAAACACATCCTGTTCGGGGGTTGTCCCTGGCCTCTGTAAAACTAAAAGAAATTTGTAGAAAAGATTTGTTAAAAAGAATTACACCTGAGCACAAAATTGGTGAATGTTGCTGAAGGAAATATTGGTCTGTCAGTATTGACAAAAATTACAATATACAAACCAGATTATAAAGACAACAATCAAAACAATGAATGGAACAGCACCAATTGCAACGCCTGCAACTAAAGAAAATAAAACTATTCATAACACTATCGTAGTTCTCATTTTTCAATGTACTGATTAAAACATGGGTATATATTAATATGGGTATATATTAATGGGCCACTCTAACTATCAATCTTCTGCGGTTTCCGTCAATCAAATAATAAAAATATAAAACTAGAATCCTTGGTGTTATTTTATTACCTAAGTATAAGTTATTTTTGGTGCTAGTACTAAATTTGTTTTCTTTTTTAAAAACAGTTTCGTGATCTGCTGTGGTGGCTTTTTTGCTAGGAGCTTCGGATAAAAAGTCACTTTTCGATGACGTAATGATTTGCATTGCCTGTGTCGTTCTAATAACTACAAATGACAAAGAAAAGGATGGCAATAATTACGTTACGTCTACTAAATCCTAAAAGTGAGATGTTAACGATAATGTAGAAATCTGATTAATTAGAAGCAGTTTATTGATGGAAGGTGCAATGTTTTTTTCTATAAGGTAAATTTTTAATTGGTGCATAAAGCATCATTCCACTACTTTTTAACTTATTCGTTCACTTTGCTATTCTACACCCTCAACCATATTATGTATCTGAAAGGTACAGCCGGTGACTTTACAATATGACCATATACAAGCAAACTTTTTAACAAGATCTGGTCGGATGAGCACAACACCTCACCTTTCTTAATTTCGCAACTAAATAAAGCAAGATAAAGCGAGAGGGAGAGTTTATGCTCATCCGACCAAATGTAGGGGGAAAAAAATATAATCACACTGTTCTTTCACCTTCCCCAACTGGGAACAAAGTATATGTAGCTCACTCGATGCTATAGAAGAAGCTTCTTTAAAACAGAAACGTCGTTGTTTCAATTAACCGATGGGAAGTTCAAAGCAATTGTTATTCATTCAAGAAGCATTATGTTTAATATTATAGGAATTTTATAAATAATTTTTTGAGATATTTGAAAATTTCAGATACATGAAAACTTATTTGTAGATTTTGTTCTATTTTGCGTATGTTATATTTTTTGTTGTAATAAACATCAACACGAACTTTTAAGAAAATTCACCGAAGGAAAAGAGGAAAAAATCTTCAATAAAGTCAGCGCAGCCAGGCGTTTGTGTAAAAAAAAAATCCACTCAACATGAACACAAGACGCGCATGCGAATTGTCACCAGTCCTCTGCTTATTAACTGTAGGGAGCCTCCTTAAATTAATTTATAAATAATGATGATTATTCACTTCATCAATTCGAGGTTAATTTAAGACATATTTGTCGTCATATGAGTGACAAACGTAAGGGAAGTCTTTTTTGTTTGCTCTCGTCAAAATTTTCTTAATTCGTCTCCAGGAGGCGTATATACTACGAACCTTTCTTTCAAATTTATAGGAAATTGTACATAATCTAACAAAACATGCCCCTAAACAATTTTACACACATTTCCCTTTATTTTTCCTAAATCTCACCACCACCATTACTTCAAACAATTTTCAATCGGTACAAAAATGTTATTTCATACTTGATTTAGACGTTTTGCAAGTGCAGTAAACAAGTAGTGTTGATGTTTCTCTGCAACTGGATGGTCTTGAAAAGAAATCCTCCTTCCGTATTGTAAAAGAACATTTTTTCTTTCCGTTGCACTGATTTTGCGCAAAACTCAACGCTGACGTTGACAGACAGTCTTTTTCCATCGAAGATATCCCATATGGTTTTCAATTTCGTCCCCTTTCTTTTAACAAAACACCAAATTCAGCTGAACGCATTTCAATGACCCAGTTAGAGCACGATTCATCACATTGGATATTTAAATTATCTCCGTTCTCAATCTTTCTTTCGTAAACTAAAAAATAACGATAATGTTAAAATATATTTCCAGAATATTTCTAAGCAAATCAAGAAAAAGAACATTCTACAGCACCGCAACATTCACTTGAGAGAAAAATGGTTAATATTCTTTATGTAAGAGCAAGAAGTAAAGTATGTAATTTTAAGTAATGTATATAAAAAACCACAAGCGAAGGTACAAAGTCATTTCCAACAATAGACGTAACTTACAAACTATTTCCTATGCACTTACGTGTTATTAGTGGCGGATTTAGAGTACCTCAAAATAAATTAGTGCAGCACATTTTGGCGTATATTTACATTTCTAAACACCTTTAAGACAAATTCATTGGGAAAATTATAATCGCTATAAATTAAAAACCAATAGTTTTTTTCTTAAAATAATTTGAAGTTAAAATTAAACTAGCAGGCTGAATACACGACAAGTGAACAGTAGTCCGCAACAAACATCTACTTCACGCTTCGGTTTTTCAAGTGGCTAAAACGTCCCATTATCCATAATACTCAATGTTTTGATCATTCCTTATCACTTACGTTTATAGAATGTTTCTCCTATAATCCTTTAAAATTCATGTATCATTCGTATAAAATGTGACATTTGAGATAGCTGAAGTAACGTGAGGTAAAAAAACGCATCTACGATTTCTTTACTACATCTGAAATATTCTATTTAGCTGCCATTACCAGCGTTTTTCATTTTTGTCTTTCTGGCAAAAATTGATACCCAAGAAATCATCTCATTGTTGGTAATCTGTTTTTCGTATATATTTCATATCGATAAATTCCTTTGCTGGCTACACAACTGCTGAGTAAATTTCCAAATTTTCCTCAACACAAACAGCATTTAAATATCATTCACAATACACAAAACTGCAAAGCTGTAACAAAATAGTGATCTCTTATAAATATATTTTAGTAGTAATAACTTTTCATGTTAATTTTGCTGGACTTCCCTAATGTTCAAAGGCACCCATCACTTGACACTCTTACACCACTCAATTATGCCACTGGCTAAGCGCAGGTGTTGTTGTGCCATGATTATAGATTTGTATGGCAAGAACACTTACTACATACAAACACAAACAAAAATACAATTTACCATAAAAGTCTAGAAACTACAAAGAAAAATTATATATGTCAGCATAAAAAGTTAATATTTTACATATTATTATAATTGAGGTTAGTTAGTGATTAAATGTACTCGAAAGCTGAGGGAGGTTAGTAAATAGTCATGGGCATGCGGGCCTACATTTTTTAGGGGATCGTTCTTTCATTTTCAATACGATATAATTTACACAACTTTTTAGCAAATACTCCCCACTGCTCGTATCTGCTCAACATTCATGGGGGCAAGGGGGGGGGGGGCAGGGAGGCTGCAGAGCTACATGCCCCCCTCGCCTAGTAGACATATTTAAATTCTTTGTAATGGTTTTTATCATTTCATGCTTAAAATTCGGGGTTGTTAGTAATATATCACCAGTAGAGACAGGATACAAGCTTGTATTACTTGTAATACCAATTTGAATCTGAATTACAAATTCTAATTAAGTAATTAAATACATTATTAATTCGAAATACTAGAACAAATGAAATTGAGGCAACCATGTTATTTTATAGTTGAAAACCATGCATGTGAAAAAAACACCTTAAATGAACTAGGATTTGGCATTTTCAACTTTATGTGGCACAGAGAGAAAACGCAGAGATGTATTTAGTAAAGGAGGCTCTGCTGCGCATTCCAACTCCATACTCGTTCTACACTCCATAATTTAAACTCCGCATTTTCCAGCATGCCATTCGTGCATCTTAACACGGAAGTGCCTCGGTTTTATCACAAAATTATATGGCACTTGCACAATTTTCATTGTAAAATATTACACAATATTTACTATAAGAAGACAGTTGTCAACAGGTGTAAATGAAAATACCGTCTAAATAATTGTAAGAAGTAAAAAAGCAGAGAAATATAATTTTAATATATTACATTGACCAACCTGTAGTTAACTGTAAGAAGCCGACGAACATTAAGACGCGAGCGAAAATATTAAAGAAGTACATCATTCTTTTTTCTTCATTTCCGTGAATTTTGACCTGGATTTCACATGAACGACCAAACAGTCCAGTCAATACAACGAACTCTGAAACCAAATCAAAACTTTCATTTATTTGTGTCATTTATTTGTCCATTTCTATGTCAGACAAATATAAGAATGAGCTCACAACAGACGGAAAGGATGTAAACACTTAAAACAACGTGTGATCTACATAATAGAGGCGAGTCAGTTGTCGATTTCCGCTTTGAGAGCTACAATCAAGGAACACTTTCAGTATAACGTACCTGAAAATACTTAACCACACTATATTTTGTCAACGTGTTGCGAAAAGAAGGACCGCAGTTAGATTACAAAGTAATGACAAAGTAAAGAGTTTTATTCAACACTCTTCTTGTTGTAATGGTAAATAAGTAAATGGTGTGTTCATCATCATTTACACCACAACATAATCATCAAAGTAAACTACAATCACGTACATGAACGTGACAATCTAACAAAATAGTTGTCTCCACATGTTTAACGTTGTCAGTTACACTTACAATTGTTTACAATGATATTTACTTCATGAATCGGACTCAGGGCATTCTGGGTAACTAGGAACTATAACTCAATAAACTAGTTATACCTATGGTATAAATGTTACAGCAAGATACCAAGTCTTTGTAGACGCTGTTAATCAAAATATAACTATTAAGCACGAAATTTAGACACAGTTATGCGCTGCGCCCAGGTCATGTGTCAACTTAAATGGAATTAATCCCAGGAAGTTTAATTCCTTTTCAAGAATCATTTTCTGACTAAGAATTTCAACAGAAATGAGACGAAAGATATTGAAAAATTGACATGGTGGAAAATGCTTACAAATGGAAAAAGTATTAAGAAATTTTTTATTATTCATTATTCAAGAAATATCATTTGCTGTAAAATTGAATTGTGTTTGAAACGTAAAGACCTTGGCAGTTATTGACGTTCTCTGTTTATAAACATTTTTATTTCGAATTGTCAAAATAATCAATTATAAAAAACTTTTAATTTATAGTCCTCTTGTCACTTAGACCTTTCTTTGCTCAGCGAAAAAAACAGCAAATTTTTGGAGATTTATATATCAAGGATCTATGCTATTAGAAGTTAAAATGGTTGGTAGCTTATAGTGTGCACTAAAGAGCAATTTTCAAAAACATGCACGAGTGACTTTATATTGAATGCATTTCTCGTCGTTTTCTAACCATAATGTTTTTATAACTACTTATAACACAATTTCCTTTGAGACATAACGCGTTGAAAAATGTTTAACTTGTACAAAATCTGTTTTAATTTCACACTTTTTTTTTAAATGCAAATGCAAAAAGCTAGATACGCCATTAATGCTCCAATCGTATTTGGAAACATTTATTGCAAATTACCTGGCCCGCTCTGCTTCCAACCCGGTATTTGCTATGCTGAACTCAGCCAGTGCTTTCTGGAAAGATTCCTGACATTCGGCCACATTGTTTGTAAAAGAAAGCAAACGGTTTCTCATCTTTGAAAAAATATATATTATTTTTAAAAACAAACTAATTCATCGATTTCAACTACAGCAACGTAGTTTTATAGCTTGTATTTTTTAAAAAAGTTCACACTGCGATCTTTAAAGGCAAAAAATTGCTTCTAACAATGTGAGCTTCATTCGGGCAATACTTAGTGTGCAAAAAGAGTCCTATCTGAAATAGGCTACCTGTTGCAATTCTTTGAGAGTAGTTATCAAAGCTTAAAAAATACGTCTGGTCGACAGTTCCTAAATAATACTGAGTCAGTCGTAGATGTAGTTGATATTTGTATCTCAGACAACAGAAACTCCAGATAACATTATGTGTAATATTAACTGAAATGACAGAAGTAATAACAAAAACTACAGCCAATTCCGATGTAGTAACTGAATGGCAACCACAACTTAGCATCAATTATAGCTAAACCCAATTAAGATCTTTGAAACGTTTGCCCAGTCCAGCGCCAAAACAAATTAATTAAAAATGCGCTGGTAAATGAATGGGAAAAATAGTGACACTAGGATGGTGTTTTGTAAGCTGTGGGCTCTTTTATAGCTATCAGCATGAAAAAATTCATCAATGTTTCAGGTCTATAATAGTCAGGCAAATACTTGTTTGATCTTATTAGAATCAATGAAAAATAATGTGATTGCATACTGTCTGACTTTGTTGAACATGACGCAACACTGGAGTTTATTTTATTCTTTTCTTGTGTAAATTGAACTATGTTTGTTTTTGAATGCTCATATCGATGTGTTCAGTATTACAAAATATCTCTATCAAACTTCGCAAGCTATGTTTTCCAATTTTGACGGGAACGCTTTTTTGTTCAGTGTGAATTTTTGGAAAAAGGTTTAGACATAGTAGAGAACCTATTGGGGAGGATCCCCACACACACACACAAACACACTTTCTCCTAATGTAGGCCCCTGAGTGAGATTATGAAACAATACTGAATGTTTCTTTAACTTTCTCCGTCACGTATTTCATACACCGGTAGCAGTATTTTTTATTTCTTCTTATTAGTACCGGTTTGGGGTAAGCCAGCTTGTGTTTCATAGTTTATGATTATAAAAGGAGAAACGTCTGCATGTAGAATAGCAAATTTTTACAAAGTCAATGATAATTTTAACGGAAATCCCTGTACTGCAATTCAGGAGAATACAATTGTTTTAGTCGATAATCTACGTCTAGATACATTTTTTGCCTTTTTCAACTTGCTTTTTGTTTGCAATTAAAGTGTTATTAATACAAATTGTTTCAAAAAAGTTGTATTACCCCAAAAAAGTGCCATTATCCTTTGCACTAAGTAAAACGGGACTCGAATTAGAAAGCGAACACATTCTAAAACTAGCTTACAAATAACCAGAAAAATGTTTGCATCAAACTTTGTGTTTATTTGTTATTAAAGTGCTTCTAAATTATATTGTTTTCAAGAAAGAACGTCCCTCAAGACAGTACCATAATCGTTAACGAGCTTTATTTGAACAAACACTCTGTGCAAATTTTGAAAGGCTAATTTAGTACATTATTACATAAGCCGCTTCTGTTTCACTCATTCCTTTCATTTTTGGCGATTCGTAACCATCATCTTTATTATTCCTTTGTGTTGCATCTAGTTCTTGATATGTTGCGTCATCTACATTTGCATTTAATGACTGGTAGTCATCTTCTTTATTCATTTGTGTTGCATCTAATCCTTGAAAGGTTGCATCATCTTCGTTTGCATTTAATGATTGGTAATTTTCATCATTCTAGTTCCTTTTGGAAAAGTCTAACCCTTGGTAAGTTGAATCTTGACTGCTTGCTTGCGCGTCAGACACTGCTCGAAGTTGATTATTGATTTTCTGATAATGTAGAGAAAATGATCGAGTTAGAGAATGGGCTGTTCTAAAATACTTTGCGTGCTTGTCGTTGTATCTGGCATCGAGCTTCCATAAACAGAGTTTAGGGATTATTCAGTCTTTAACGTCAGTCTTTAACTTAACTCTCGTTATTTCTTTCAATTTTGCGACCCAGCCCCCTTTGACGTTGATAGACCTGAGTTAGTTGGAGAAGTGGAAATATTGCCGCTAGTACCACTATGATGCACCACTTTTGATCATCCAAAATGGCTAGCGCACAAAACATACTGTGAGACTTATTCTTCAAAAATAAATTAGCTAATAGTGACAATAAAATGAAGCGAAAGATGACATTGGTCAGTGGCGTAGACAGCGCACAAACAGGGCTGAATTAAAATACATGGAGGTCTAGAGCAGAACGAGTTTGTCCATGCAAAGTTGAGATTTTGAAGTTAATTCACGGTAAGAACCGTTAAATTGTAAAAAATGAAATGATGGTAATCATGAAAAATTAAAATAAGAAAGAGATAATAGCTGTGATGAAAAAGAAAAGGATGATTCTAGGGAGAAAGATGAACAGGTAGATGAAAGCAAATAATGATGGTGGTGATAGTGAAGGAAAGCTTGAGATAATCACAAAAAACCCTAAAAAACTGATTTTGTTAACAGACACCGAAAAATATTTTTCAATTCAATAACTTAGACAAGTGTCTGAAGTTTCTCTTAACGAACACTTACTGTAACAGCGTTTTGATTTGTCTTAACATCTTTAGGAACTGGTATGACACAATCTTCGTCCATGTTAACGATTAAATTTTTTCCTTCTTTCATCCTTTTCTTATATTCAACGGGTTCCGTATACATTTTACCAACATTTCGCTTTCGACGTATTATGCTGTAAAAACCAGGCCATTTTCATAAATTTTCTACGTTACAAAACAATGAAAAAGAAAAATTGTATTTGATAAAAATATCCGAACACCTTTTATTCAGTTATGAATTAACTGAGCAAATCTTGTCAGTTAAAGAGATACAGTTAATAAATCGATATATAGATGCTATTATCAAAGGTAAAGAAGGGCTGAATTTTGCGAGTTATAATCAGTTAAATGAATATTTCCATCCATGCATGCATTGCTACTTAAAATTACACAAAGAATCAAATCACGAACCGCTTTACAAATATACTAAGGTTTTAAAAATACGTAAAATAATTGATAAGTGAAATCGTCTTACGAATCTAACGTATGAAAATGTACCAATTAAAAAGAAAAATTCAAGCTCTTATAGCACCAAGTGTAGCTGAGCACAACATTGGATTAATCTCGAACATGACAATAATTACAAAATACAAACCAGAACAAAAGGATCACAACCAGAACAATAAGTAGAAAAGCGCCAACTGCAAGACTTGCAATTATACCTTAAAAAAAAGAGATTTCACAACAATAAAGGGTTGTTCGTAGTATTCTTCAGTAAAATCTTCCTTCGTAGTCTATACAAGTTACAGGTGCTGCAAACAAAGGAAATTAATTTATTTCAAGTTTGGCTCAACGAGAGGCACAGTTCCCAACAATTGAATCAATGTCCAGAGCAGCGTGTTTACGGAGCTGATAAATTTAAACAAGTAACGTACTTTCTTTATGTACATTACGTAGTTTTTCTTCCTTAATGTCATAGTTTTCATTTCATAAAAAACCCATAGCGAGAGCACCTGACTTATCTACACTTGTTTAGCATGCAAGAATTGTTACTAGCGTTGTTTACACGGCTGGCGTTATACGACTTTGTTTAAACCGTCCATT